AATGGATATCAGTGGATCTCAAAGATCACTGAGATTATTTTTAATTTTTCTATCACTTTTTTCTGATTGCCTCAGTTTGAATGATTTTCATGAAACTGCTTTCAAGTTTACTGATTACTGTTTCTGTTGTGTCCAATTTGATCTTAATCTTCTCAAATGAATTTTTTCATTGTAGTTTTTTCCATTTCTAGGATTTCCATTTCTTATTTTTAAAAGTTTCCACATCTCCCCTCAAATTTTCCATCTCTTCATTCACTATATCCAACTTTTCCTGTAGACCTATAACATACCCATCATGGTTGTTTTATAGTCCTTGACTATTAATTTCAAATCTCAGTTACTTGTGACTTTTATATTTGCTGATATTTTCTTGACCATGTATCACATCGTCTTTACATGGCTAGTAATTTTTTAAATTATATATTGGACATGTGGTAGCAAATTATACACTCTGGAATCTGTTATATTTCCCTAAAGAATTTGAAATGTTTTGAGTAGATACCTTGGATCACCTCAAATTTGAGGAGGCTTGATTTTACTTTTGGCTAGGATTTGTCTATTTTGGTTTTGCTCTTAATCCTTGGGAATATCTCTTAATTTAGGGACACAATCTTTTTTTTTAAGATGTGACTTTTTCAGTGTTTTAAGGGACATCTCTAGGTATTTGTCAAGCTCCTCTAACGTAGCAAGACTCATACTCCTAACTCTATTCTCCTCTGTGGTGGGAATTAGCATAAAACTGTTCAATTTTCAGCCTTCTAACTGTTGTTTTGTCCTTCAGCTCCTGATGTTTCACCCAAACATGCATAACTCAGAGGTCTTCAAATGATTTAATAGAAGTTAATACACATATCTTAGGTCTGTCCCTCTCTGGCTCCTTCGATTTTCAACCATTCTGGGAAACCCACACTTAGTCCTCTGACTTCTCAGACTAATAAGATAGTGGCTTTTTGTATCATTGCTATGTATACCAGAGTGGTAAGTGCACTCAGAAGAATAGCTAAATAAATATAAATCATTCCCTGTCTGGTTCTCTTCTTTCAAGGGTTATATCTCCTCCAGTTTTCTGCGTGTTTTTTTATTTGAGTCCAGTGCATCAATGTTTTTTTTTTTTCTTTCTTCAGAGTTTATATCTATTACCTGCTAGAGAGTTAGTATAAGAGAAGCCACTCAGGTATTAACATAACTAAACTTTACCTTTGATTTAAGTTACAAATAGTTTTGCCACTTAATATTTATGTTTATATTTTGCTTTGGAGGTTTTTTCCCCAGGTAGACATTTTTCAAATTCACCAATTTTTTTGTTTATGGCTTCTGAATTTTGAATCTTGATTAGAAAAACCTTTCCCACTTTAAGATTATACTGGAATTCATCCATTGTCTCCTACTAAATACTTAATATTTTTATTTTTTACATAAACGTTTTTATCACTTTGAAGTTTACCCTAAAAAAATAGATATGTAGTATGAATTTTATTTTTTCCAGCTTTTTACCTAATTGTCACAACACCATTATCAAGAAATTTGTATTTTACCCCATTAATTTGAATTCTATTTCTATTATATGCTAAATTCCTGAATGTATTTTGGCCTATTTTTGACATGTTTATTCATGTGCCAGTACTGCAATTTTTTAGTTATTAAAACATTACAGTGTTTTTATATCTGATAGGGTTAGTCCTTCTACGTTGCTATTTTTTAGACTTTTTATGGCCAATCTTGATGATTTTTCCATTTAAACTTTACAATAAGCTTGTTAAGTCAAAACTAGAGGTATTATTAATAAAATCACATAAAATTTATACAATAAAGAAATATCTTTATTATGCTGAATTTTACTATTCAAAAAAACCACGTCTTTCCTATTGTTTAGGTTTTAATATGAGTTCTTATGTAGTGTATTAAAGTTTTGTTCGTGTCCATATTTCTTGTTAGATTTATTTCTAGGTATTTTAATTTTTTGTTGCTATTCTCAATAATCATTTATAATAAATTAGAAAACTTACTTAAAGTGACTAACCTTCCCATTTATATTTTTTAATTTCAGCTAACAGCTATAAAATAAGAATGAGTAAAAGTTTACAGAATATTCAAGATGACTTTAACAATGCCATTTTAGTGAATATATCAAAGCTAAATCCTCAACAAGCTGGCACCAAGGAGATATTTACATTCTCACTAAAGCTCTTCGTAAATGAACCTGAATATCAACCTGGTGGAGAGACACAAGAAAGCCACAGGATTTATGTGGCAATAAGAACCATAGATAGGAACTCTTTAAAATCTCCAGTATCTAACATCATCCAGGCATCGCTCTTTATTCCCCCAAATTCTACTCCTGTGCTTGCCAGAGATTGTCTTATATTGAAAGGAGTTTTAACAGCAATGGGTTTGATAGGAATCATTTGCCTCACTATAGTTGTAACACACTGTAAACAGGAAAAAGGGAGCAGACAAAAAATGAGAATGGAACAAAATGACTATGAACGAATGCAGAGAGTACCTTCCTTCTTAGATATAGTACCCATGCCCTTTGCACTCTACAAAAACATAGCAATAAAAACAAATTAACATCAAAGTTGTTAAAAATGCTTTGAATTTTTGCATAATTCAGATCAGATTTTTACATGGTAAATTACATGACAAAATGTTTTATAACACTTGTTTTGGGGGGAAATTAGAAAACCCTTAAACTCAGGCTATGGACAAAATAATAAAAACTGTTCTCCAAGATAATGTCTTTAAAGGCAAAAAAGGCAAGGTCAAAGTGAATCGAAGAGTCAAGAAAAGCTTGTTTTATTGAAAAGGAAAAATAGACTCAATTAGAGAAAAGGTTAAGTCTGAATGATATAGTATAACTCTTTGTATGAAGCAATTGTTTAGTTACTTTAATTAATTTCTCTTTCTCCTTATATGTTCAGAATAGATTGCTTATTTATAACTAAAGATCAATTTGCACTTTATATAGGAAGCCCCTATTGTAAAATTCCTTCCCTCTAGCCGTTGGGTTAACTATACTACAGATCAAATCCCACAGCTAATGCTCAGAGATTTTTGTTCATTGTGAAAGTTAACCTTAAAATGTGGGTATTACTCTTATCCCTTGACACCAGTTTTGTAAGATGTCTATTGAATTTATTGTTTTATAAGTTTCTACTCTCATCAAACCAGCTTTACAAGTTATTGTCTTGGGTGTTATTCAGTGAAAATGGTAATAGCTCTCATGAGGCTTTAAGTAAAAAATGAAAGACATAGTTCTAAAATTATTTTAATACATACATAGGCTACATAGTTTCATTAAATTTAAACCAAAGAAGAGAGAGACCGACCTTTACAAATGATTAACTGATTCTGTTTTTTGTTTAAATAAAATTCTAGAAATCCTTCCTGTATTAAGGGTTATTTACTTATGGGGTGGGGGCAAATAGAGAGAGGGAAACATAGGTCACAAGGAAATAAAAATCATCTTCCATCTAATTTTACTTCTCTTAGTTTTAAAAGATATACTTGAACAATAGAACCATTTGCTTTGTATATTAAAGAAGTTAAAACTTTATTAGGTAACTACAAATAATAATGTAGAATAGATCTATTTTACAACCAAGATCAATTAAGAGCGAAAATTAGATTAAGTTTTCAGGAAGTGGGGAGGGAATTGTGGGGAATTGGGGCAATAAGAAAAAGAGACAGAGAGTGTGAAGTCTTGAGCAAGAGACTTAGAGCAGTTCTGGGGAGAAAAACAACCAGCAAATCTCTCCAACTAGGCTTCCTCCTTGCGGTTCATGCTACATCCCCAGGTCTGGACTAGTACATTTTAAGTCTCAGAGTGCCTAAATTTTCACAGATGGAAAATATCAAGTACCCACTTGGCTGTTAGTCTCTCCTCTCTCTAATGCCTGCTAGCTTGGAATTTGCTTGTCTGTAGTTTCAATGGGTTGGTAAAATACTGAGATGGAGTTTGGTAGGTTTTAAGTCATCAGATATTACCCTCATTTTACAAACAGGAGAATGGAGTTTTAAGTGACTAATTCAAAAAACTGTGTTGTTTAATGACAGAGCTATATAAGAGTACAGACAGGTTCTCTTACTGCTCTTTCACTCCTATCTATTTTAAAAGGTGTGAGAAGATGCTGGGGATTATGCCTAGAAATATTTAACTTTTTCAAGATCATTTAGCAGGAGACTAGGTCTCGCTTTAAGAAACAGGATTGTTGGCTTTTTGTTTTTGTTTTCGTTTTTGCTTTTTTTTTCGTCTTGGAGGTGCAAGGATGAAAAAATAGACTTGAGTCTGGAATTAGTGAATTGGAAGAGGCACAACTAGGATAAAGGATGCTAAAGTGATGAACTGAAATATATTATAGCAGAGTAGAAAGGTTGATTTCATCAAGTATATACAATAAACAATATTCAGTGGTTATGAGGAAGTGTAGCATCAGACAAAATATATGGTAAATGTAGGAAGATATTTATTTAGAGGAAAAGAAGGTTAAATTTAAATGAGAGAGAAATAGAAGCAGGAGATAGAAGATTTTTAGGGGATGAGTTGATATAGCCTATATACTGATTGCTTTTTGTGTATGCACTGTTGACTGCTCCAAAAGTACCTTTTTACCTGCATGTTAGTATCAGAAAGTCTACCAAAAAAAATTTGCTTTTAGGTTTGCTTTCTGTTATATTGTAATTGTTCTTAGAAAAGTTGGTCTCTAAAAATATTATTCATTTAAAACTTAATGTGACAAATCCATTTGCACTAATGGCAGAGTTGCTCATATCAAACTAATCCTTTTGCTGATAACAGTTATCACTCTTGGGGAAAAAGATATAAAACACACTCTTTGAAAGCATTGGACACCAACAAAAGCAGGTAGAAACTGGAAGAGATATGACCCTTGAAAAAAGGCAAGCAATCTAGGTGAGATCCACATTTTAAAAGCTTTTCTCCCTAAAGGCAGTCCCAGTTTACTTAGAGCATCTGGATAGAACCCAAGCAAAATACAGCAGTCTACTAGGTTAAAAAGCCAGAAGTAAGAGTCCTGGGGTGCCAAAGCACTTGGAAATTGGGGGAGGAAATCATAGAAAGGAAGAGACCGCCAAAGAGAAAGTTCCCAAAACTGTATCCTCTCAATCTTTGATTGGGTCTTATATTGCAAAAATAATCTAATGGAAAACAAGAGATTGGAGACTAAAATTGCTGAACAGAGATTTTAGCAACTGCCCAGTTTGGGGGAGAAAAAGTTTAAGGTTTAACCCCAACCAAGTTAGAGAGTTTGTTAAGCACCTGGTTTTTCTACTGAAACTTCAGAAGGGCCACATTAGGGGTAAAGGCCATGTCCCCAGACTAAGAGTTATATCCTAAAACAAAGGGCAAAACTGAAATAGATCTGCTCTGACAAAGCCTAAAATCATGTCTCCACAGAATCAAGATGATTATTCACCAATAATTTAACTACTGCTATAACATACCTCAGAGGAAGATAACATTATACAATTTCTATAACATATCATCCAGTATATAATAAAAAATTAATAGACACACCAACAAGCAGGAAACATGTCCCATAATTAATGAGAATAAAAATGTGTCAGTAGAAGAAGATACAAAAATTAACCAGATTTTGGATTAGCAGACAATGAGTTTATAAAGAAATTACAGAAAAAAGATAAGTATATGATTAATAGAAGAGGAAATTCAGGAAAGATGTGGAAATTCTTTAAAAAGAAACAAATGAAAATCCTAAAAATTGAAAAGTACAAAATATAAAAAATTTCGTAATGGATTCACAACAAACAGACACTATAGAAAAAAAGATGAGATGACTTGAAGACAGGAAAATAGAAAGCATCCAAATGAAGCATTTCGTTTAAAAAAAAAATGGAAAAGCAAAAAGGACTGTGGGATATAATCAAGCAGTCTAGTGTACATGTAAATCAATTCCAGAAATAGAAGAAGCAAAAATTGGGCATAAAAATATTTTAAAATTATCAGATAAAAAATTTCAAAATTGATTTAAATTATCAACTTACAGATGTAAAATCCTCAGTTAACCTAAAATAAGATCTATATGAAGAAAATAACACCTAGTATATCATAGAAATGATGACTGTTATTCAAAACAATTGAGGCCAGAAGATAACAAAATGACATCTTAGAGTGCTAAAAGAAAAATCTGTCAATACAGAATTTTATATTAAGCAAAAATATCTTTAAAAATGAAGGTAGATAAATAAAAGCTGAAATAATTTTCACTAGCAAAGAATACCAAAGGAATCTTTTTAAGCTGAAGGAAAATGATGTCTAGTGGAAATATAGATCTATAGCATGAAAGGAAGATCACTGGAAATGGTAAATAGGTAGGTAAATATAATAAATCGTTGGTTTCCTTTACTCAATTCCTTTAAAAGGCAATTAACTGTTTAAAGCAAAAACACACACACAAAAAAATATATTACGGTATTAATCACAAAGAAGTAACATACATGACAATAAGAACAGAATGAACAGAAAGGTGACAAATAAAATTATACTGTTGAAAGTTACTTACATTATACATAAAGTGGTATAATATTAATTCAAGGTAGACTAGGATGAATTAAAGGTGTATATTGCAATCCCTTTGGCACTTATCAATAATAAAGTAGGGTATCTAAAAAGCTAACAAATGTAATAAAATGGAACACTACCCGAAAACTACCTACTTAACACAAAAGAGACAGGTAAAGAGCAATAAAGGAACAAAGAATAAACAGGAATAACAGAAATCAAATAGCAAGATGGTAGACTAAAGCCAGCTAAATTGATAACTGTATTAAAGATAAATGAACTAAACATTTCAACTAAAAAGTGAAAATTTGCAGACTGATAAAAAAGCAAGACTCAACTATGTGATATTTAAAACAGATGCATTTTAAATATAAAGACATAGAAGTTGAAAATGAAAAAATAAAAATGATATATCTTGCAAACACTAAGCATAAGAAGTTGGTGTTAGTATATTACTATAAGACAGAACAGACCTTGAGAAAGGAGAGAAAAAGAGGGTCATTCCATGATAGCAAAAAAATAAATTCAAGAAGATACAAGAATCTTAAATGCAAATGTACCTATTAATAGAGCTTCAAAATATCAGAAACAAACAAGCAAAAAATGCCAGAACTAGAGATAGACAAATCAACAATCGAACTTAGGGATTTAAATCTTTCACTGTCAATATCTGAAGAATATCTAGATAGAAAACTCAGTAAGAATGAAGAATATTTTAACAACATTATCAATGGATTTGACCTTGACATTTATAAAACCAATTACTGCAGAGTACACATTCTTTTTAAGTACTCATGTAACATTTATCAAATTAGATCATGTGCAAGGCCACAAAACATATCTCTAAATGTAGACTATGGAAATAGACTGACACCATATGGTCAATAGATTTTCTACAAAGGCATGTGCAAGTCAATAGGGGA